GAGAGACATTTTCTTACCACCCTATCCTCCTATCTTTCTAAGCAGAAGCTCTCGTTTTGCTGTTTAAAAGTTTCAGCAGGAAACTTAAGAAGTATCCCTTCTTCTCTAACTTCCCTCAAGCATCTGATGATAGCGTTTGGGGTTCTGTTCTGCTATCTTGAAGGGCCAGTGTGATAAGAGCAAGGCCACATGATAAATGCCAAGGTAGGGGTTCTTTCTGGCTCTAGGCCCATAGCATTTGAAGAGTGATCATGTACCTTGCTTTAGAGCCCACAGGCAGGACTGGTGTGCACGTGTGGGGGTGGAGGGTGTCCTTAAAAGGGGCCCCTTGTATTCATGAAACTGAAGGAAGTTTTGATTTGGTGGGGTAAAAAAATCCCATTCCTTTTTATGGCCTGGACATAATTGGGTCTTTTCTATTGGCCATCAGTGATGTCATTCCGACCCCTCATAAAGAAGGGGAAATCACACCTGTGGACTCGGTGCATAAAATTTCATTGGGCAACAGTAATAAGCATGACCAGATGATGTTTGGGCAGTTGGGGAGCTTTGTGCCCAGTGAATCCAGCTGCATGGAGACCTGGGCACCATAAACTTGCCTGCACGTTTATGCCCGCAGGCCAATTCAGGGCCCACTGCCAGTGGCTCTTTTCCTTGGGATCAGTGTCTGGTAGAAACTCAGCATTTGGACCCTTTGTGCCAGGAGCCTTTGACCTTTTCTTTGCCAGAGTAGTGGAACCGTGTATCTACTGGTACTCACTGACCTTAGGCGCCTAATACTGTTGAATAAAAATGTGACCTTGAGCAATATCCACCATTCTACCCACCTCTACAAGTTTTCAAGCTTTGCCTTCTCAGGGATGAGTCACAGGCTCTAGGAGAATATGTGCAGTTGGCCCCTGTGTATTCGGAAGCCTCAGAGTCCATTTCTAGTCCTATTCTTAGCTGTTGCATGATTGAGCAAATCCCTTTTCTTCACTGAATCTGTTTCCTAATTTGTGTAGGGGATGGTGACCACTCTAACCACCTTATGCTCTCTATGCTGGAGTAGGATTGTGTGATAAAGATGTCCAGCTATCTTCCCATGAGATACCTGGAAGTTCAAGTTCTACCTCTTGATTCTATCTTTCATAAAGATGAGTCTGGGCCCAGCTATATTTGTACTGCTTATGCTGGGAGTCACAAGGCTGGAATACTTAGAGGAGCACTAGCAACCCTGCTCTTCTCCTTGGATCTATAAATTTCATGCATGGAGCTCCTGAATATGATTAATATTCCCTCTTCATACTTCAGTCAGATATAGAATACAGAGAGGCACTCAGGATTGCTGCTGGGCTGTGGTGGTTTGAATGTAATCGGCCCCCATAATCTCATAGGGGGTGGCACTATTAGGAGGTATGGCTTTGTTGGAGTGGGTATGGCCTTGTTGGAGGAAGCGTGTCACTGTGGGGGCGGGCTTTGAGTTTTCCTATGCTACTCATGCAGCACCATGTCTGCCTGCACACCGCCATGTTCCCTGCCATGATGATAATGGACTGAACCTCTGAAACTGTAAGTGAGCCCCCACAATTAAATGCTTTCCTTTGTAAGAGTTGCCATGATCATGGTGTCTCTTCTTCACAGCATTAAAATCCCTAACTAAGACATGGCCCATGTTTAGATGTGAATGACTGTTTAGATGATCTTTCTTTCTGATGTTTTCACTGTGGCTCCTGTGGAGAGGAGCAGGCAGGATCCCACTGATCTAGACCCTTCCTAACTGGAGGTGATGTCTGTAGCTGTCATGTACCATTGAAATCCCACAGAAAAGGGAATCCCCCTTTCTCCAGAGCTAGGCAGAACCAACAGGACTCCTGACATATCAACTAAAGTCATTAGAAGGTGGCTGAGGTTGACTACAGGAAAAATAAGACAGGGGCTCCCTGCCCTTTTCTGATTAGGCCCCCGTGTTTCTCCTGTTTCTGGTAGCTTCTTTACACCCAGACCTCAGTGTGATTTTGTTATGATAAATCTTTCTGTCACCCGCTTGAGTTCTGCCTGCCACGTGGATGGCCAAAATAATGCACAGAGACTTAATATTAGGTACAAATGCTACTTGGCCAATGACTAGGATTTCTCATCTGCTAGCTCAGTCTTAGTTATCATAAATCTATATATTTTATAAGACATATCTTATCGGACACCTTCTGCTGGCCTCCACATCCCTGGGATCTCATGGTGGCTCAGAGCAGAGAGCAGGAGGAAGAGCAAAGGGGAAAGGAACCACTTCCTGCTTGTCCTTGCTTAAATATGAGTCTCTCTGCTATGCCACTTCCTGCCTAGATCACCACTTCTTTACTACATTTCCCAGGATCCTCCTTGACTCCTAACTTGCTGCCTCATTGGCCAAACAGTACTTTATCATCCAATAAGACAAACACACAGAAGCACTTCCCCCATCATGATTTTTCTGAAACAGTGAGCTTAGCGATCATTTTCTAAGACACAAAGGATAAGGAACAACATCAGAGAAAAAGAAGGAAATAATAGGATTCAATCAGTCAAATTACAGTTTGCTTCTCATGAGATTTTTTAGCTGCTAAGACCACCTACCTCTTTAGCCTTAGAAGCCTTGTTTGATGGCCTCATGTCCTTGGTCCTTGACCCTTTGTGGGCATACCACCTCTGGGTGCCCCCTTCATTTTCTTGACATCAGCCAATTCAGAATTCTCCAGAAAGCTGGCTAGTTATAGATAATGCTGCTGTGCCACCTGTGTTTAAAAGGATCCTGCCTTTCAAAAAAAGACATAGCCAGGTGTGGCAGCACAGCACTCTGGAGGCAAAGGCAGGTGCATCTCTGTGAGTTCAAGGCCAGCTTGATCTACAGAGTGAGTTCCAGGACAGCCAGGGTTATGTAGAGAGACCCTGTCTCAAAAAACAAAAACAAAAACAACAAAAGACATGTGACATTATGTCTCAAGACATAATGCATCTTGTAAAAGTGAATCCTTAGTTTACTTCCTGAAACCCAGAGGTCAACTTCCTGTTAATATCTGTCAAGTAGCTAAAGGATGAAGGGAAGGCTAGATTTCCCTTCAACTTTCTGAGGTGAATTTGCCATTTCAACTGGATTCTCATAGCCAAAGTTCCTGAGAAAAGGAGTCTGTACTTGTGTTCTCCATTCCCTTATCTCTTTGTGGCTCTTCCCTCTGCCATCCCTTACCTGGCTTACTGCTGTTGACACTCTCCTCACCCAGTCACTTGGAACCTCCATATTATGAAGTCCTTTTGGTTTTCTCACCTTTCATCTTGTTTGGCCTCTGTATAACAGTTGACATTAATCACTTTATTTTAAGCTAAAAAATATCAGGTCTATGGCCAGACATGGTGGCACAAGCCTTTAATCCCAGCACTTGGGAGGCAGAGGCAGAGGCAGGCAGATCTCTGTGAGTTTGAGGCTAGCCTGGTCTACAGAGCAAATTCCAGGGCACCCTGAGCTGTTACACAGAGAAACCCTGTCTCGAAAACAAAACAAAGTATCAGCCCTGTGTAGAAAAGGGACACATGCTTCCAGAATTTAGGCTATCCACAAGTAATAGGAAGTGGGGTCAAAGGGCATATGTGGCCTCAGGTGCCTGATAACATGAAAAGGGGTGATGAGTTGAAAGAGTCTTGACTTATGAAGGATTGTCTTCTTAGGAACCATGCAGAGACACAAGGCCTGTGGCCTGGAGAAGGTTCTGGGAAGAAAATGTGGAAGTCTTGTTCTCTGTAATTTCCTTTCTTTTCTTTTGAGACAGGGTCTCTCCATTATGTAGCATTGGCTGTCCTAGAACTCATTGTGTAGACCGGGCTGGCCCTAAACTCAGACACACACTTGTCTCTGCCTCCCGAGTGCTGGGGTTGAAGGCATGCCGACCACATCAGACGTTTTCTATAATTTTTGAAGATTCATTTTCCCTTCTCTGGCCCTGTGTTACTCAGTTTTCTGTTACTGATACATACCTGGGATACCAGTTTTTTAAAAAGGAAGGCTCTTTCCTTGCTGCCCTTTTGGTGGGCTGGGAATGTGATTCAGTTGGTAGAATACTTACATAGCATGCCTGACACCCTGGTTTGACTCCAACGCTGCCTAAAAGTAGTAGTGACACAGATTTCTAATTCCAGTATTTGGGAGTTGTAGTCTGGGGGCTACATGGGGCCCTGTTCAAACAACAACAAAAAAAAAAAAAAAAAAAAAAAAAAAAAAAAACACAACCACATTCCAGGAGCTGGATGTGGCAGCATATGCCTTTAATCCCAGCATTGAGCAGAAACAGATAAATCTCTTGAGTTTAAAGCCAGCCTGGCCTACATAGTGAGTTCCAGGCCAGCTGGGGCTATAGAGTGAGATCCTGTTTCAGACAAACAAAAAGGGGCTAGAGAGATGTCTCAGTGGTTAAGAGCACTTGTTGCTCTTGCAGAGGACCCAGGTTCATTTCCCAGCATCCATATGGCAGCTCACAGTCATCTGTAAACTCCAGTTCCAGGGAGTCTGACATCCTCTTCTGACCTCTGAAAGTGCCAGGCACACACTTGATGCACAAACGTATATCTGAACAAAACACTCATGCATATACAATAAAAAATAAATCTAAAACAAAGACCCCCCCCCCCAGGGCAGTAGGGAGACCACAATATACAACAGTACCTACCTCATGGGATCACTTTGAGGGAAAATATGAGTAGGAACCTTAATGTGTTAAGAATAGAATTTAACAAATTAGGAAGTAGTAGCAGTTGATGTTATTCTATGTAATGTCTCTTGAAACTCATGTTTGGTTCTTAGGAATGGCTGTGAGCCCAGTATCCATGGTGCTGGAGGTGGGATAGCTTCCTCAGCTGGGGACTCGGCTGATGTGCTTGACCGTGTGGTGTGTCTGTTTTGTTCTTTTTCTTTTTCTTTTTTAAACTTTGTAGCTTAAGACTCCACACTTGGGACATTTGTATTTCCAACTTGTTCTCTCTCCTCTTTTTTGTAGGCTCCCAGGCCAGTGCCATTATTTAGGCTTGCCAGTGGCGGATTACTTCAAGCAGTGGATTAATCTGAAAAAGGTACCATCTGAGCTTCCCTCGGGGGCCTTTGGTTCTCGTGTATGTGAGACACCTCCCCTCCCCCAGCTCTTGTGTCTTTCTTTTTGTTTCTTTTTCTCAGTATCCCTTCTTTCTCTTCCCTTGGTAATATGCGCTGAAATGTCAATATTTTTGGGGATGGAGAGCTTCGTGAAGGTCAGGCTACTGGGTGGAGTCAGAATAGTGTCTTCTAAACATACATAGAAGTCCTAGTTAAAGGGATTCCCCCTCCCCCCCAATCTGTGGGTTGAGCTGTGTTGTCACTAGGAGAACCATGGTTCTCATTGGTCTAATTTATATACTGCTGAGTATGATCTCTGCACCTCTAGTTTGGAAGAGGGGTTTGCCTACACTGGCTTTGCTCTCACCTGACCCTAGCAGAGCCTTGTTGGTATAAGGAGGACAGCATATGGAAGCTAGAACCCTTGGAGCATGAAGGAGGATCTTGACACTAATATAGCATCATAGACCTTGGAGAGTTAACATGGGGCTGTGGACCTTTAAAGTACCCTATATAGCCAGGATAGTTTCCTGATAAAGAATGAGTCACCCAGAAAACCAGTCTCCCCCAGCATGTGCTGTGCTTCCTAGGTAAGCAGAAGAAATGATTTAGGAATGGGCTTCTTGGTTCCTTGCTCTAGAGGAATTACTGTTCCAGAAGGCCCAGGCCACTAGTAGAATGATGCCCATGTGCCATTCTGATGGAGAAAAATAGTGCTGGAGCAGCCTCAGGATCTACTTGATGCAACCAGTCCGCTTAATGACTCTCAGGAATCTTGAAGAAGGGAAATCACATCAGGGTCCGAATGGAAGCTCCCTATAGGCTTAGGAAAAAGAGGCTATTGCAGGGTCACATTAGATACTGTGAAGATTGGGATCTTAGACTGGATAACTAAGGAAATGGTGGTATGCCAGGAAGAGACTGCCTTGTAGGCAGAAAGAGCAGCCTGCTTTTGGGGTGTGTGTGTGTGTGTGTGTGTGTGTGTGTGTGTGTGTGCTTCCAAAGCTAAACATGAATGTGGAAGATCAGAGAGGAGCCAGTTCTGTATTTGCTCCACACCATATAACCCTGGTGTGCATCCTTTGCACTCTTTTTGCTCTCTTCCCCCCACCCGCCCACCTCCTGATGATCACTTGTATAGCTGAGTCTATGACACCACTTCTCATCTTTGACTGAGGAGGCTAGGCTGTCCTACTTTTGAGCCTTGGTCTGGCTATCTCACTTCGTGAAATGCACCTCTTGCCTCTTGTAATCATCATCAGGCATATTCCCTCCCCTTGAAGATGCAGTTCAGACATCATTTCTGCTGAGCTTCTCTTGCTGTGAGGCTCCCTGGACTTGGGATAGCAATTAAGTCAGTTAGAAACAAGTCCATGCTTGTTGACTTCCAGATGTGTCCATCTGGAGCACAGAGACTGAGCCTGGTTCTTGCCTGTGTCTTCAGTGGTTGGACTGGGGTCAGCTAGTCTCAGAGTGTGTATGCTTGCTGGCCACCTCCTCATTGAGAACTAGATTCATAGAGACCTTCTTGGGTGGAGCTAGGCATGCCTGTGTAGATAGACATGCTGTCCAGGAAAACAGTGTGCCAGCTGTCAAAGCTCATCTGAGGCTGCTTGCCAGCCTCAACAAATGCAATGTGAAGGCCCGGCCAGGCGAGGCAGGCACTGACCATGAACAATTACTCTGTGAAGTTCACTAGACTTTTTGGTGTGTGATAGCTCTCTGCCTTTAGGTTCCTAGGCAGAAGGGCAGGAGAGCAGCTGACCCATATGGTAACACTAGGGTCACCTTGGTGCTTCAGGCTGTCTTGAGCTCCTTCAATCAGTTCTGTACTGGACTGCCAAGATAATGAAGAAAAGAATGGGTTTAAAGGGAAACTGAGGACTCTATTCCCAGCGGACCTTATGTTTTCTTCTTGTGAGGTAATCCAAGCAGGCTTGGGAAAAAACAAGGGGTCTGATTCCTTCCTCTCCAGTTCCCAGCTATATTGTGTTTCAGGTGTGTGACTATGTGAGTCACTAGATATGAACTCACTAGATATGAACGCTTTTCCTAAGGCCTCTAATCTGAGAAGAAATGGAATAATGTCTGTTCAGCTCTCCTCTCCATCAGAAACTGTGGACTGCCTCAGAAAGAGTAACTTTTCAACAGCCGTGTTTTGACATCTCCTACCTCTACCTACTTCCCCTGTAGCAGAGTGGCAAAGGCCACCGTTGGCTGACATTTGGGATGTTGTTGAATAATCTTAGACTTTTATTGAGCTGTCAACTTAAAGAAGACTTGAAGCTCTGCTTCCAGCTCTTTCCAGGGGATTAGAGATGTTACTAAGGGATAGGAAAATATACATGCATGTATGCTCACATGCACACACATAAACATACATGTTCTAACCCTGTCACTTTGGATGGTTCACAGTACAGAGAGACTTAATTCCATTTATTGAATGATTGACTACTAAGGCATAGGGAATATGAGAAGAGGAAAGGGCATGGAGGTAAAGCTGGAAGGAGAGGCCAGAGCTTGTAGACCACGTTTTGATTTTGGCGTTTATCTTTAGGATAAAGAGGAGATACTAAAAGGGTATTAAAACAAAAATTGAACTCATTTGCTTTTCTATTTTGTATTGAGACAGAGTCTCATGCTGTAGCCTAATTGGACTTGAGCTTTTGACGTTCCTTCTGCTTTAGTGTTCAGTGTTGGAATTATAGGCATGAGCCAACATGTCCATCTCATTTGAGGTTTTTTTATTTTAAATTTTAAAACACTTCTGTGCTTATTTTATGATTTGCTTATTTTTATTTCATGTACATTGTTGTTTTGCCTGAATGTATGTCTGTATGAGGTCGACGGATCTCCTGGAACTGGAATTATAGACAGTTGTAAGCTGCCATGTGGGTGCTGGGAACCCAGGTCCTCTAGAAGAGCAGCCAGTGAGTGCTCTTAACTGCTGAGCCATTTCTCCAGCCTCCTTATTTGAATTTTACAAAAGATTCTGTGGCTGAAGTATAGAGAACTGCAAGAGACCAGATACTGGTTTTTCTAAATGGGTTTGGATTTGGTCTTTGTAGGTGGCACATTTCATTGTTTGGGTAGTGTTGCTGATATTGTAGAATCTCAGGCCTCTGCTTATTGGTTAACAGTTTTGATCCTCTTCTAATAGTTGTACAACCAAACGTGTGCATGCATATACACACAGATCTTGAGTAGCCCATGGAGGGTGGGATTGGAAAGCACTGTTGCTGGTTTGAGAGTTGTAAAATAAGACCATTGCCATAGTCTAGGTGGAACATGGTAGTTACTTGGCTTATATGTCTAGCTGTGGAAGGTGGAGAACTGGGATGGGCTCTAGAATGATGAATGGTGTAAACAGTTCTGTTAGGTTACAAACATACAGGTTCCTAAAAATCCCAGTACTGGCTGGATGTGGCCACCTAGGCCTATAATCCTAGAATTTAGAAGGCTGAGATGGGAGAATTGCCTTTAACTCAAGGTCAGCCTAAGCTACAGAGTTAAAGACTAATCTGGGTTACAGAGCAAGACCTTGTCTCAAAAACCAAACCAAACAACACAATCTCTTACACTAAGGGAAGTCGTGTAGTAGAAATGACCTAGGGAATGCAGCACACAGAAACTCCATCGTAGCCTAGTAAAGAAAGATAGAGATCTACTTTAATTGATAGTATGGTCTCATAGTTAAATGATTAAGAAATATATAAATACTATAATAAATATAGCACTTTACTTTGGATTAAAAAAAACTAAAGTTTGCATGTAGAAATGGCTGTAAAAAGGGCCATAGTTGGTGAGTTATTGTGTTGGATGTGGGGGGGGGTGCTATTTGAAGTCAAATGGGAAATTGAAACCAGAAGATGTGGCAATAGCATGTCTGATGATCTTAGTGGCTGTTAGGTGTTGTAGATGTGTTTGCATGCATTTTATATGTTCTGACAGAGTTATCTGTTCAACCATCTTTAGCTTCCTTAATCTCCTCTATCTTTGTAAGTCAGAATCTCACTATTTAGCCCAGGCTGGCATAGCACTTGGAATTCTTCTGCCTTCACCTCACAAGTACGGGGATTAAAGGTATATACTACCACATCTGACTCATCTGGTAAGAACCTTGTTGCATCATGGGATGACTTCACATGACAGGAGACAGAGGACAGGGTGGTCCAGCTCCACTCTTTTTTCTTTTTTTTTTTTCTTAAGATTTTATTTATTTATTATGTATACAACATTCTGCTTCCATGTATATCTGCACACCAGAAGAGGGCACCAGATCTCATTGTAGATGGCTGTGAGCCACCATGTGGTTGCTGGGAATTGAACTCAGGATCTCTGGAAGAGCAAGTAGGTGCTCTTAACCTCTGAGCCATCTCTCCAGCTCATCCAGCTCCACTCTTAAACCCTTTTTGCAAGAATGGCATTGATCCATTCCTGTGGGTAGTTCCCATGCCCTAATGGTCTCTTAAAGGCCCCAACTCTCAGTTAAATTTTAACATGGAGTTTGGGGAGTACAGACATTCAGTCATTAGATATGTGCTGCCTATTAAAGTTTCCACTGGCATATGTGGCAGTAGACCATTTGGAATATATCTGTTATGATTGAGATAATTCTTAATTTGTATTAAGCTTTAATCAGTTTGAATTAAAAAGTTCCTTGAGAGACTTTTGAGTATGTTTAAAACACTTGAGTTTGAGATGCTACATTTTATTTTATTTTGGTTTTTGAGACAGGGTTCCTCTGTGAAACAGTCCTGGCTGTCCTGGAACTCACTCTGTAGACCAGGCTGGCCTCAAACCCAGAGATCCACCTGCCTCTGCCTCCTGAGTGCTGGGATTAAAGGTGTGTGCCACCGGCCACCTGAGATGCTACATTTTAAACTATTAATTGTACAAAATCTGAAACATTGTTTCTGATAAAGATTTTGCTTCCTGAGATGTGATATAACTATTAATTTACCCATCAGACTTAGTCTTA